CAGTCCAGACTTCACCACAGCGCTTTCCCAACACTTCCAGACTCTTGTGATATTACTCCTCTTTACTCACTGTTGTCAGGGACACCACATAAGACTCTGTCCCATAGATGGGAGAGGGTTTATTAGTTTTGGTGTTTGCTAAAAGAACCTGAAAATGGAAAAATGGACACAAGAAGTATGGTCAGGCTATTTTACATTTAACCAGGCTCTAAGAAGAAAAGGAAAAATTATCCCACAAAACTGGTCCCTATGCATTCTCCCCAGTATACAACTTGATCCTAAGAAAGAGGATGAACCATATTCCTCTCTCCAGAACCATTTTCCCAACCACCCCCTCTCTGTGTTTCCCTCTTTTACCTTCCCTTCAGCCAGTCCAAAGACAATGATGTACTCTGCGGGCCACTGCAGACAATTACAGCACTCTGCATGAAAGGACATGATGAAAAAGATAACCCCATCTGTGTGGGCCAGCACATTTATAACAACTTGAACACCCCGCCATACACCACCATCTCAATCCCCTACAGGGAAGGGACACAACAGGGCTCTGAGGAAGAAAGCAGGTGACCATGAGCAGCCACGAAACACCGTCCTTGCAGTAGGAAAAGTCCAGACTCAGATGTTAGAAATGCAACTCCTGCATTTCTACTATATCTACTATACAAATATATCTACTTATATATAAGTAGGTAGATATATTGATATAGATGATATATATAGATATAAGTAGATATATTGATAGATGTTTGCTCATCCTAAGCTTCCAGGGAATGGACTGAACTTTATCATCTGGATGAACTTGTGGCAGATGACTTTCTTGTCACCCCTGCCAAACAAAAGCAGGGGAGCATATTTAAAACCACTTTCATAAACAAATTGCCAAACATGATGCTGAGGGAAGAGAAGAAAGAGCAGATTTCTTCCTGGCCCACTAGTGTTTCTGACTACTTTGTAGGAGCCCTGAAAGGAGGCATATGAGGGAGCCTAAGGAGTTTCAGAACAGTAACAAAGATGCAACATCCCTCTGGGCTTCCAGGATCTCACAGGGCCTCCTGTTGACCTTGGGCTGATTCCTCCAGGGATGGGATTGCAGAACACATGGGACAGGCGAAGGTAGAAAAGCAACAACAGACTCCAGAAAGTGCCCTCAATACCCAAGTGTGGCTTCTCATCCTCTTCATTTCCCCTCCCCAGAGAGGCATTTCTCTTGCCTTTCCCTTCTTTCCTGGGCCATCCCATCTCCCAGTCTCTATCCTCACCAGTCTTCTTCAATCTTGTAGACACAGATGATGTCAGTCTGTCCTATGGCAATTTTAGTGGAATCAGGAGAAAAAGCCATGCCCTTCACCATATAGCTAAAAGTTAAAAAAAAGAAAGAAAAAGCAGTAATGAGTATACATTAAAGAAAAGAGAAAAAAGAAAAAAAGGTACATGTGTGCTCCTACGGGGGCTTGAGGATTTCTACTGAGAACAAGGTGGGGTACCCCATTTCCTATACCTATGGCTAGGTGGCAGACTAGGTCTTCCAGGTTTGTATGACCCTATCAGTAGGTTAAGGTACACATGAATACACTCTTTACCTTCATGTCAGCTGGTTCGGTGGAGAATTTCTCTCTCCATTCTCCATGTTCATCATACAGCAATACCACTCGATCCACTGTGCAGACAGCAAATTTGGCATTGTTCTGGGACCAAGCCATACAAGTCACCTTTGCAGCTCCATCCTGCAGAGGCAAAGGGTTTAAAAGCAAACCCATGTGCTGGTCTAGAATGTCAAAAGCATTTCGAGCTCCATGAATTCTAGTGTAATTCTGGTCAGTTTTCTTCCTGTCATGGTCCTATCCTCAAAATAAAGAGGTGCCTGTGGTCCATCCTGGTCTCCGAGGCCTTCAGATCCTAGACTGTGAGAACCGTGTGCTTCTAGAGACTCATATGCAAATGTAC